AAAATATATATACATAGATACATAGACACACACACACACACACACACACACACACACATATATATATATATATATATAAATAGATAAATATACACAATATGTATATGTATATATTTACACATGAAAACGAAAATAAATATGGGCACAGACACAGACACAAGCGTAAACAAGCACACACGCAACACACACACACACACATATATATATATATATATATATATACACACCCTGTGGCCAGTAGATCATGGGCTGGATTCCAGGCACAGGTGAACACTTCATTAGTATGGCCGGTGAGTATAATAACATCCTTCGGACTGATTGCCTTCGTATCTCCTGATGTGGCGTTGGGTTGATCATCTCCCGTGACCCCCTGTACTTCCTGTTTTATTCGACCATCTATCGTCTGGCTATCGTCCAGCATGCCATTCTCCTTCGTCCCGCTTTTAACCACTCCGCTTAAAGCGGGATCGCCACTCTCATTGCTCGCAGCCTTGGCCTCCGCCCCTGTCCTGAGCTGTGCCGCTTTATCTTTCTCGTTCCTCGTGTTCAACGTGTCTAGCGCCGTGGCGTTTGCGGTCACGCGTATATCGTTTGTTAATGTTTTAGAGTCCTCAAGAACTGCATCGTCCATGTCCATAGCCGTCTGTGCGTGTGCGTGTGTGTCTGTGGTTGTAAAAGCGTGTTTTTGTTTACTCGTGTTCGTGCTGCTGGCTGCGCTCGGGTCTGGTTTTACGCGTGTGACTGTGTCCGTATCTACATCCATCGGCATTTCCCCATCAGCCGCATTCACCCTACTTCCACTTCCATCCTTTTCCGCTGCAGAATCGGGGTTGTCCCCAATTTCCGGCCCCGATCCCGATTTCTGGTCCAAATTCCCACCCGCTATACTCGTCTCCATACATTGCTCGGTCCTGGTCGGGCCAACTCCCACTGCCTCACCCACACCAGCACCCTCCTTTGTGCTCGATGCCGGTACACCCGGATCGTCTACCTGCATGGCAATCTCCTCCCGCGTACCTGTCCTATTACCACCGCCTATGCTTGCACCCCCACCTGCAGCCGTGCCTGTGCCCGTTGTGGTGCCTGTACCCGTTGTGGTGCCTGTACCCGTTGTGGTGCCTGTGCCTGTCCCTCCACTCGTGCTGGTAGCTGTGGCTGCAGGTCTGCTGGTCTTGCCCTTGCTGGCGTCCTCCCCTTGTTCAGTAACATGACTGTCCTTGTTCGTGTATGTGTTCATATTTGCACCTGTACTTGGTGAAAGCGGCTTCCCACTCCCCTCAGCAGTATTCGAAGGCGTGCTTGTGCCCGTGTTTGTACTCTTGGCATTCGCCTTTGCCTCCGCGTGTTTTGCCCCCGTGTCTGATATACCTACCTCCGTCTCCTTCTCCGGCCTCAGCGTTTCCATGGCAACGGCGGATTTGCCGTCGTGTGTGTTTGACGTGACAGCCGTCTTTACAGGCGTGCTTGTGTTCATGTTTGTGTTTGTGTTTGCGTTTGTGCTGGTGTTTGTAGTAGTGTTCAGAGCTATCGCAGCTGGAGGACTGGTGGCGTTCTGTTGACTCGCATTCGGCGCATTCCCAGTCGCTGTATTACTGATTCCGTGGCTACTATCCGCGTTGTGTGCCTGTGCCTGTGTCTGTGTCAGTGTGTCAGTGTTGGGACTTGTAGTAGTAGAACTGCTTGGTTTGGTGCTGGTTGTGTGGGCGGTAGTGCTATTACTGGGTTTTGAGGGGACGTTGGTGACTGTCACAGACGATTCCAGCCTGTTATCCAGTGCCATGCTTTGTACTTCGTCCTTGTTATTCCTGTCTGGTTCTGTATACAGGAGAAGCAGCATCGGGCCAGACATTAGATATACTAGACACTTGCGGTATAAAAAGACAAGTCCACACAACCAATCGCGACCAAAATCAGGAGGAATCTAGAGATATACAAGCTGACGGAAAGTAGGACTTAATTCCAGTATAACGATTACAGGAGTGCTGAAGGATTGTATGTGCGCTATATATAAATACATACATCGATACATACATATACATATATACATACATACATATTTTATATATATATATATATATATATACATATACATATACATATATATATATATATATATGTGTGTGTGTGTGCGCGCTAAGGATACACATTCGTACACATGTACGTACACCCATTACAGTCACATTGATGCCGTCAAACAAACGTGTCCCAACTGCACGTTTGTGAACCATAGATGTGCCGCGACCATTTCTTGCATAAATAGGACAATATATATATGCTGATACCCCATCTAGTTTTGTGTCTGTAGCCGAGGAGCTGTATACCTACAGGTACATACCAGGCCTTTTGGACTTTGTCTACGAAGTATAAAAAGTAAATGGAAGTGCAGTCCATGACTTATACATCTCCATAAGATGCTGGATTACCCACACACTCACAGCACACTCACACTCAAGCATACAAATACACCCACCGCCGCACACAGACTTAGTACTCCAGACAGGCATACATAGGCTATACTATATGCAACCAAAACACACACACACACACCTGCATAAAAATACACCCACCACCGCACACAGACTCAGCACTCCAGACAGGCATACATAGGCTATACTATATGCAACCAAAACACATGCAGAAAGAAACACACATGCAAAAAGAACCCCCAGACACATACTCCCAGACATGCATCTACACACCGGTATACATGTGCTCTACTAAATGCAACCAAGCCCATACCTGGCTGTACGTGTGTGACGACCACAGGTGTGCTGTGGTCGTTCTTGCCTTCGGTTGTTGAGGCGTTCGCTCTGTTGACACTCCTATCCGCCACATTCGGCGCACTGTTGGCGGCATTTGCTGTGTCCGGTTGGTGGTGTTTATCTGTCCGGTCAATATCCTGGAGAAGCAAAAGAACAGATAGCTAAGCTAAAACCCCTAAACCCTAGACCCTTAATGCACCACAGTATATATATATATAGTATAAATAGTATATATAGAGCTACCACAGTATATATATAGTAAAAACAGTATATATATAGTTACCACAATATATATATAGTGGTGGTTGACTACTACTAATTCTGCTGCACGTGAGTTGGTAGAATATTCAAGTTGTTGAACGGCAGATGTGCCCACGTCCGTACGCTTCATGTCGTCTATTTATCCACACGCTGTTGGAGGATTAAAACAATGCGCTACTTAAAGTAAGGTGCCGGTTGAAATGTTGGTGTTTGACTACCACTGCATACCGTGTAAGTGAAAGACTGAGAGGTTCAAGCCGCTCTAAGCATATGCGCGTGTAGACACAGTCAAAGACAATAACATCGTGTTCTAAAGTTACAGTTCTGTCTATACTACAAACTTGGCATCAAATCCCCCCCCTATATATAAATATAAATATATATACATATATATATCCTCCCTACACCCCCTACTACCCACCTCGTCATCGTGCACACGCCTCCGCTTGGAGTCCTTCTTCTTTGTGCTGCGTGGTTTATCGCGTTCTCTGCGCTCCTTCTCTTTGCGTCTGTCTGGCTTGGCCTGGCACACATGTGGTCCCAGTAGTTTAAACGGCTCGTCACAAACGATTTCCGTGCCGTCGTCGTTGAGATGGGCCTCGGCTTCTACGTACAGCATACCCTGTGAGCGAGTAGATGCCAGGAGGAGTGCGGATACGAGTGAGTACGAGTGATGGTACTTGTGTACAGAGGAGAGAGGAGGGAATGACTGAGCCAAGTTCATGTGTAAGCTCCGGTTGAGCGTGCTGAGGATTCTGGTATGACACACAAACACCAACACCAACACGAACACGAACACGAACACGAACACGAACACGAACACGAACACGAACACGAACACGAACACGAACACGAACACGAACACGAACACGAACACGAACACGAACACGAACACGAACACGAACACGAACACGAACACGAACACGAACACGAACACGAACACAACACAACACACACAACACAACAACAACAACACAACACAACACAACACAACACAACACAGACTGCCTCACTAACACACACGAATAGACTGTGACATGT